TGCTGACACTGGAATATTAACAAGATAGAAATTCAGTGTATGCCTGCTACATACCATGCAGTAGTTAAGAGAGATACCTGTGCTACCTCTGAACAAACTACAGGTCACATTGCATTGAGGTTTCCCCAAAAACCTTGCCTAACTGCCATTTTAATTAATAGACTGTTATTAGTGAACATTCAAATATCAGGAAATTCAGAATAACTTTTCCCAGTCCCCAGTTTCCTGAAGCTTTGCTGAGGAAATGTATACTCTGTTACTTCTTCATGAAAATAATTACTAATCTTTCTGCTCTTTGACTCATATGGCCTATTATCTTGATGTTCGTTTTCTGACTTCACTGAAATGCCTGTTCACCATTGCTTCAATAACTTAGTTACACTACAGCTTATTTGTCACATAGCCCACACAATTATTATTTCAAGAAATGGACTCACAAATGTTGAAGTCATGTAATAACTTTAAGTCATTCTCCTTGACATAGTGCCTAAGCAGTCATCGAATACAGATGAAGAAAAGTTTCTTCATTTATTTTCCAGGTTTTCCAGCTATACAATTAAGCTGCCACTGCTGAATCACAGACATATAGGCTTACAATGCTCTACCTGTTCTGCAGTAACTTACTCTTCAGAGACTATAAGGTATACTACACTGCTCTGAATGATCTGTCAAATAAAGATCCAAGCGCAAATACAAATGTGCACTGTGACAGCCCAAATTTCCTTCATTATCTGTATGCACCTACTATGTCCTGCTCCATCCACTCACTGACTTTTTCATATAAATACACAAAGCCCCATAAAACATGCAGAAAGGTCATCTCAAACACAGGTCAGGATAGCAAGATCCCAATTTTCAGTGGAATGTAGAACACAGAAGACTAAAAACAGCTTTTGCCAGTATCCTGACGCCCTATATAATATGACTAAGGTTCATTTTGAACAATGTAAGTGGATAAAGAATCTCATGAATAAAAACAGCCTTTCAATTTACAACTATATGTAAAACTAATTCCAAGTACAATTAGTCACGTTAACATATTGCATATTCTCCACTGAAGATATCAACCTCAGAGCTAATATGTAACTGAAATGAGAAATTAAGCCACAACTGTGCAGCAGCACACATGAACACTCATCTAGCACAATCTCAGCAATTTTTATGTGCAACTTGACCTGGGAAATTTAATTCCTCCAGTCTGCCGCTGAGACATACTTTGGTGGCCATAATTAGAAATCTAGCAAAAGTTGGTATGGTAACTGTATTGACAGTCTGGAAAGCATCACAGAAAACAGTGCTTAAAGCTAACACATTTCTGATACATCTCACTAGGATACAAAACAAAAGCATCATACCAGTAGTCATAACTCTCATCCCAGTTGTCAAAATGAACCAGAAAACGATTGTCCACCATGTCTGTTACCGTAGCAACACAAATGAAAGTCGGGTTCTTCTTGTCTACGGCTTCCAGCTTCATCCCCACTCGAAATCCCGACGGAATCACTGTCTACATAGAGACAGACATTTAATTGAAGATAAATACTATAAATCCAGAAATCTCCCCAGTGTCCACAATCAATATATTCATGTCATTTCTAAGTTTCCCAATTAGCTGTCCCAACAGAGTGAGAGCAGCCTAATTAGTTGACATGAGAATGCCCAAACACAGACACTTGTGGTTTATGAAATAAAAAAGTCCTAAACATGCTGCTAAAATTAAATGTGTTGGTTTTAACTCTGTCTTAGATACTCTCTCTGAAAGACCACTCTTGTTCCACAACATTATGGTGCAAGACACTGTACAAATAACAAATCTTAAATTTAATTTAAGATACTGTTTCTGAATGCATCGGAAGCTTAAACACATTAGTAAGAAGGTAATAAATTGGAATTGCAGAGGTAAGCTGTAGTGGAAATTGTTATTGCATTTGTTGTAAACATTTTTGTCTTAAATTTCAGGTCTCTGCCATCACTGAAATGTACTATGAGTCTCTACCACACACAGGAGCACACAGCAACTTTCCACACTATTAGTAACAAGTGAGTACTTACTGCATTCTGGTTTTCAAACAGTGATTTGGGAGCAGCTTGTGCCTTGCATGCCTTTAGGTATGAGGGCCAGCTGAATTCTTCTTCCTTATATCCTAAATGAGGGGCATAAAAGAACAGCAAGAAATGATAGATATGACACACAACGTGCATGCAGGTGTCTTGATCAAAATTGATCAAATTACTTTTTCCATCCAGTTCTGAACTGTTTCTTACAACTTATGCACTGATAACTATTTATTTTAATTTTATATTAACCACTCCAGAAAATTCACTTTAAAACTATGCATTAATTCTAGCCCAATATGAACTCAATGTCTCTGAGCAAGCACTGGTTTGGATTATTAGAAATGTAAGCAGAAAACACCTTACAGGAAATTCTATTTCCAAAGAAAGTTGATGAATCTTTTCTATTTTTGTTTGCGCATCTGGTATTACAAAGAGGATTCATGTTCTTTATTTAGGGCTGCTCGAGCTTTCTTACCAAAATGTCAAGCTTTCTCTACACTAACTGAGCAAAATACTCTGCTTTCTTGAGCTGCACATTATTAGTTTCTTATAGGTCTCTAGGACTGACATTTGAACTGCCCCTAATGTTTATCTGGGAGAAAGAATAGCCATATAAATAAAGCACTAGGCAAGAACTCAGGAGATTTCAGCTCAGTTTCAATTTTACCTTTGAAACAAGCTGGGGATTATTTATACAAATACAGAATCATAAAATATCTTGAGTTGGAAGGTACACACAAGGATCAAAGCCAACTCCTCCCGAGTCCAAGCTGAATCCAACTCCCCCAATTTTTGGGGGAGAAATGGAAAGACATATGAACACAAAAGCAGCAAGCAGAATGGCCAGACAAGGGAGAGCACTGCACTCTACTGTATTTCTTACAAAATCACTGCTATCCAAAAATCAACCTTGCAGTCCTGACCTTCATAGCAACTTTTCAATATCTGAAGGGGACCTACAAGGGAGCCCTGCATGGACTTAACGCATTTTTTTATTCTATGTATACAGCACTTGGAAAGAAATCAAAGTTTCTGCTGACAGACTGCCTCTTTTAGTTTCTTAAGGGAAAAAAAATCATAAAATAGAATACATAAAAAATAGTAACAAATAATTCATAATATAATGAACTGCAGAAAATAATTCACAAGAAACCATCTGTAGTTCTAATCTACCAAACAATGCCAGGAGTTGGAATCAAATAGACTTCCTTCTTTATTCTTCTGTTACATAATAGCTATAGAAACATCTGTTTTAGTCAATATCTTACAATCCAGTAAAGCAGGAGCAAAACCACAACAAATTTCTGTGAGTAATTGCCCTTACTGAAATGTGTCACCTCTTAACTATTTGAAATATTACTCAAATATGCCAGAGACAAGTGCCCTGTTTAACCTGACAATCTCATATTATCCCAGAAACTACAAGTTTAAAACTCTTTGACTTCACCTTCTCCACGCAGAGCTTTCTCACTTTTCCTTTTAAGTATTAGTCAACATAAATTAACCTCCAAGTACAAACAAAGATACTTTTCTTTATCCTCCAATTGTCTCTTATTTTGATACACTACAGCTGTAGACCAGTTGAAACCATTTTTAAGGGAATATGGTATCGAGGTTAATTTTCCCTTTGTAATTCTAGAGGATATTCAAAACTAAGCCCAAGCTCACAGCAGACAACAAAAAACACCCACATACTGCATGTGTGATGGAACCAGGTACTGTCCATGGGAAAAATAATTGGTCTCAGCAGACTATAAAACAGTTTCTAGGCAGTGTGGGTCTTCCTGTCACCAAGTGAGAAAGGGAGACCTTTAGCTCCTAACACATCTCTCAAAAAGACCAAAGGTGAATTTGATTTATTCACTGTAGATATAAAACAGTCAATGCAAATTTTACATGCATGTATACACACACACCCATCCCCTCACTGCAGGTTTTGCCTACGTGAGATAAAAGTGACCTCCTCTGAACACAAAATGATTAGCATCCTGAAACACCATCTCCTTTTCTTCCTGTAGAACCCAGTTTGACTTTGCTGCTCCACTCCCCCACGCCTCCCAGAAGCCCAGCAGCAGCCCCTGTTGCCTGTGCTGCCATACGAATGGGAGACATCCCACCACAAAGGTCTGTCCTGCCTGGTGGCACCAAGAGTCACCTGCCCTTTCCATTTTAATACACAAGGATAGAAATATGTATCAGAAAACATTTAAAATAATATAATTCCTTTCTCATGTCCCTCATCCCCTTCAAACAAAACCCAACCCCAGTCCTCTCCCATCACAATAAAAAGGCTCCCATCCCTTGCCAGGGAAGGTCAGCCGAGACTTGCTTGGAATGTTATACACTTTCAACCCTCTCAGAAAACAAGGAGTTAGTTACTGGACCCACA